GTCATCCATGCGGAGATGACTGATACAGAGTAGGCGAGGTCGCATCTACTGTGCGTGGACAGCCATAACAGCTCTCCCCCGAGCTGTTGGGCCTTCTGCACACGGCCTTCAAAACCACCTAGGTCCTCTTCATCTGGGGTCTGTGGCTGACCCTCACATGGCACTTGCAAAGGCTCCCCAACCTCATACCTCTGCAACAGTTCTTGGATATACCTGGTTTGGTGCACATACAAGGTACCATCCAAACCCGAAGACACCTCGAACCCGTTAAAGGTAACCGACCCGGTCTCGGAGAGCAGTGCGGGCTCGGTGCATTTCCAGACCTGACACAGCTTGTCCAAGGTCTGGCTGACATGTGAAGTTTCCCCAACCGCTAACATGTCATCGACATACAGCGCAAGGTACACAACGACACTGTTGTCTTCCTCACGGTACACGGTCCAAATGTTCGGGTCGCTGGTCATCGGGCAAATCCTGACTGGGGCACCATCAATGTCGAAACGCAGCTCACTGAGGGTTCCGTCCCGGTGTACGGACCAGCTGCGGGGACTGATAGTCAGCCCGTACAGGGCTTGATGCACAGACCAATACTTTTCCTCGCATATCCCGTGTCGTCTGAACATGGCGGGGGTCATGACAACGATCTGCACCCCGTTTGACAACAACGGTGCTGAGAGGAATGCCTGCTTGACATCTATGATCCCCAAATCAAGCCTCCTAAGCCCTGCGAACCTCAGCAGCGTTCGCAGGGTAACGGCGTCGATCCCTCCGGAGTAGGTGTCTGCTCGCGACCAGCGGTCGCTGCGGGCAAAGTTTCCGCAACACACGCATCGCACCTTGCGACGCCCCTTGGGCGCCTTGATGCTGCAGATAACCTTGGCTGGTATCACCTCACATGGGGTACCTTCACGCCTCCACTGTTCCAACGTCGCTTCACTCAGCGGCTTGACTGCCCTTTGAAGACCCTCGTACTCCTCCTTCATTGGGCCGACCCACTCGCTGGGGTCACGCTCAACGAC